TCTTAGTTTTGTCCATGTTCATCTTAAGACCTATCCGTTGGGAAACACTATTGAGGTCATTGAGCATAGTGCTTAGGTCCTCCAGCGATTCTGCCATAAGGACTATATCGTCGGCAAATCGAAGGTGAGTGATGTACTCGCCATTGATGTTGATACCGTATCCTTTCCAGTCCAGAAGCTTGAAAACGTCTTCCAATGCAGCGGTGAAGAGTTTCGGGGATATGACGTCACCCTGTCTTACACTTCTCTGCAATTGGATAGGTTTCGTACTCTGGTTCTGTACTCGGATAGCCATCGTAGCCCTACTGTACAAGCACTTCAACACTTCGATATACCGACAGTCAACTTGGCACCGCTGAAGGGACTGCAGCACCGCCCAAATTTCGACGGAATCAAAGGCTTTCTCATAGTCCACATACGCCAGACATAGTGGCAAATTGTACTCTTCGGACTTCTGTACAACTTGCCGAAGGGTATGTATGTGGTCTATGGTGCTAAAGCCCTTTCGGAAACCGGCTTGTTCGGGAGGCTGGAAGTCGTCAAGTCTGCGCGCGAGACGATTCGTAATGACTCTCGAAAACAGCACGTAGACGCGGCTCAGAAGGGAAATCGGTCTGTAGTTCTTCAAGAGAGCGTTGTCACCTTTCTTGAAGAACAAGACCACCGCACTTCTGCTCCACGCCTCCGGTAATATAATAATAATAATATAATATTAATTCTTTATTGACATTTTTATAATTTATATACTTTTACAAATATATGCAATACATCAAGAGGACTAATTTGAAATGGGTAGAATCCTGAGTCTCCTAGGTAGGTTACTTAGTTACCTGTATTTAGGAGAAAAGAAAGCACTTTTTGAAATATTTTCATTATGTATAATTTATTTTACATTATTCCAAATAAACGCTTTGAAATTGTTGTCCATCGTCGCAACTTCACACACAAAAAAAAAATCGCATAAAAATTAGAAAATAATGAATAATGCAAAAGGTATAGATTTAAGAAAAAACATCAGAATTACGTTATTAAATTTTTTTTTGGGAAACAGTTTTATTATTCCCGTTTGCTTTGAAAATAAGGTGGAGATTCTGTTTTTTTAAATTCACAGTTATTTTGTGTAGCATACCTTCGAGAGAATGTATGCTACACAAAATGAAGACGAGAATGTGCACGATGTAAATAAGAACAGAGAAATAAATGGTGAATTTTTTTACTATGTATGATTATATCATGAGTAAAATATCACCTAAAATCATTAAAAAAATTGAAGACGCGCTAACGCCGAGCGATAAGACCGAACTGGTTTGATACCCCCGTACCCGCGCATTGGATCGCTTGCTGACTAGGCTAGTAGTGTGGCCAAAACGCGCGGATAGGAACGTTTGAAAACTACACGCGTTATCTCGCCCATGCCTGTCGCGCTAGCCGCCCGCCTTAGTCACTACATTAAGGACGCAAGCGGTGGTTTTATATGTTTGATACTTCGCGCCCGTCGCCGCAATCGCGCTAGGATTGCACTGTGACCAGGGTTTAAAGTATTGTAGGCACTGTTGCAGTGCGAATTGGCGGACTAACGATCTATACGGATAAGGTATTCTCAATTTTCTTATTATCATAATTATAACTGCTGATGGCTCAATACACAGTCAAACACGTGGTAAATTAGTAATAGAAATTGTGATTAGTAATTTAAGTAATGTCAGCGGATATCGAGCATAGGTTTCTCGCGTACTCTAAAATTAAAGACGAACACCTAGTCTCTGAGTTAATTCCATCATTAAAGCTTACTCAAAGTCCTCCGCTGAACATAGGCCTACTCCATTGATCGCCTTATAGGGGGATATTTGGCATAGTTTAGGCGGTTTGGCAGCCGCAGGTTTTTATTATTTAGATTTGTTATCAGAAAGAAGCACTTTTACATGTGTTGTACTTAAGTCCGTGAGCCGCTGCGTAACCCTCACCAATAGACAAAAGTCGTCTCATCCGGATAACAGATGGACTCAAAAGCATCATATCTGATTTATTTACACAAATATGCTATCTTATTATTTGTATTTAAGCAAGCAGACTTAGTTCTACAGCACATGCTGTAAGAAAGATTAGAAGTCTCACAGATGTTGAGACAGCTAGGTAAGTGTATTTTAGTTACTTTCATAGCGTAATGTCTTATGGAATTTCGCTATGGGGTAATGCGACTGATATTGAAGCTATATTTGTTTTGCAAAAGAGAGCCATACGGGCGATTTATAATCTAAATTGTAAAGAATCCCTCACAGAAAATTTTAAAGAAATAAACATATTAACTTTGGCATCGCAATATATTTATAAAAATGTAATGTATGTACATAAAAACATAAATACGAGTAGCTTTAATAAGAATAAGGATGTTCATACCTTAAACACTAGGAACAAACATAAGCTTGTAATGCCAGTTACTAGACTCCACAGAATTAGTAATTCATTTATGGGGCAATGTATACGCTTTTACAACAAAATCCTAGAACATGTTCAAAGTCTGAAAATAAACAAGCTTAAAAGTTTTATTAAAGAAAAACTGTACAAAAAGGGTAATTATAATATCAAGGAATACATGAATGAAAATAACCCCTGGTAATAAAGTGATCGCCACCATGCTGGTTCTATGAAAATTCTCTAAAATAGTATAAACAAAATTATTGTTAAGTGAATTTATGTTTAAAAAAAGTCCCGCTGGGTTTCTTGCTGGTTCTTCCCAGGACAGAGGTATTTTCCAAATAAAATAATGACTTTCAATAAGTATTATGTAATAGTCCATATTGAATAAAAATCATTCTATTCTATTCTATTCATCATCTACGTAAAAGCCAACGTTGACACTGTTGAGGCGATCTATCAGCTGGTTTAGAAAAGAGGTTGAACAGTTTTGGAGAACTTAACCCTTACGCCTTTTACGCCACGCCACGTTGTAACCCATATACTTAGGAATAAGAGCCATCCCATTTCAAAATATTTTTCTGGTGCGTGTACCAGTACTGGAATAACGATATAATCTCCTTGGGTACATTAGTCTCATAATATAGCTTCTGCCACAATTTACCATAATATATATACAAGGTCAAAAGCAGTAGACAAATAAAAAAATGCTAGTATAGGCGTTTTTCTGGTAGTACATTATTGGAAAGTCTACTTAATGGCGTAAATAGCGTGTTCGGTTGACAAACCGGGCCTAAATCAAAATTGGTTATCGTTTAGAGTTGTACATGCTCAACTAATATGTTATCAAGCAGACTGTCAAGTACTTTCGACATAATAGTAGTCAAAGATATTGGCCTATAATTCGAAATATCAGAGGAATCACCCGTCTTATTTTTAATAATATGCACTACACCAGTTTTAGTAAGCGTCGCCGGTAAGTACAAATAAACTATAAAACATAGCAAGTACTTGAGGTAAGTGAACATCAGCATAATTATATTATTTCAAGTGTTCAATGCTCACACCATCATAACCGGGTGATTTCCCTCTTAACATCCGTTGCATAGTGTTTCTAATGATCTAAGCCGAGAATCTTATATGGGAGCCTTATTCGGATAGGTGCCTGAGCATTGCTCACTTGCTCAATACTAACTACTGGAGGCTCGACCATCGAGGCATGTTGATCACACGTTTCATATAATCCCGCGGGTGTCGTAAAAGGCGACATAGAAAAATCTGAAACAGGAGATGGGCAACAAAATTTTCTTGATGACAACTGAAAATAATAAAAACCTGAGGCTGCCTAACGGCCTAAACTATGTCAAATATCCCACTATAAGGAAATCAATTGCCAATCCGCCTGTCTAGCGTGTCAACTTTGGAAAATATAAGGCGGTTCTTTAAGCAGTTGAGTTTTGATAGGCTGTAATAAATAACGAAAACGATAATTCAACCTGTGTATTAAAGAATAAATATAAAAAATATATAGGTAAACTTTATATATTCAAAATCGAAATACAACTGCTCAAGTAATGTATAACATTAGGAGGCGGTTACACACTATGGCAGTTGTCATTTGCATGTATCTCCCAACATATGAAATGAATATTTTACATAATTTATTAAATTTTAAAAGTTTACTCAATTCACAAAATCTAGATACGAAACAACAGAAATTTTATTTAGTAAATTAGTAATTTGGCGTATTGCCACGAGCAAAATTATCTTAAGCTTTACTCGGTTTGCTGAGCCATCTGTTCACACTTTTGTATTTATCAAAACACCACTTGTTAGATATTTTATGTACTGGTATGTATTCTTACTATAAACATCTTCTAACATGTAAACTAACCGAACTACTCTTGGCTCTTGGATTGGAAATTTCAAATGTTGCACTTACAGTGCTGCTTTGCTTATCAAAATGTCAGAAAAATAGTTTAATTAAATATGTATCATTGATTTTTTTAATAACGAATTGTCTGTTTTAAATAATATCCACAACTTTCAGCTTCTGTCGGAAACTACTAACTGCGCTAAAGTATTATAGTGTGCGGATAAGGGCATGCGCTAAAACCGAGACACTCATTCACAGTATTTTTTTTTTATAGAATCAACATGTAGATGCGTTACTACTCCTGAAAACTAAAATGGTTTGCCTCGTTACCAGTAAGAAGTCTCCGGTTCTCTACCCTCACTATACGAAACACAGCAGTGTTAAGCTGGTATTCTGTGAGAGTGTGATCCTTCCCCGGCCGAGCCATTCGTGCTACAACTATACTGCTAGTATAGCTGCAGCATGGCTCTTCCACGTACAACTAGCTAAGATTTTAACCCTGAACTGACAATATTGTTACCAATTACTCTGACAACTAGACGACGTGATCGTCAAATGACAAAATGATTTTGCGACGTAGTATATTAATGTCGTTTTTGTTTCAGGATATGGACGGTCGAAGCGAGAAAGTGAGTTATACGATGGAAGGCAACACCAAGTCAAATTATTGATTAATATCATATTAAATTTGCTCCACAATAATACCAATATGTCGCTTGATGATAACAGTGCGTCTAATTTTACTCAAGTATTATCAAACCTATTTGGAGAAATGCTTCTAGCAACAGAAGTATCAGATGATAATAATAATACAAATATTGACTTATCGCAATTTATAACCGCATTAAAGGAACATTCACATAAGAGCAGCAACGATGGCATGGATTTTGGTGCTTTAGTGAAATTGGTGGATGGCTGGAGGAGTAAATTGAATTTGACAAAACCCATAGAGACAACACCCTGTAATTACTGTGAAGGAGGTTTCCGGGAATTCATCCTCGCCTACAACAACGTCCACGGCTACGTTAGTCTAATCGTAAGTAATTTTATGGGTTATTTTCAGATCAAATTCGTATTTTTTTTTGTAAAATAATATATTTTGAAGTAATTAAATAATAGAACGAATATGTAAATTGTTACGGCCTACGGCTGCTCCCACAAAGGTTCAATCCTCCGAGCCCATCAGCGGAGTTTCAACGAACAGACGTAGGTCGGGTCTCAATATGGCCGCGTGGAATTTCCTAATTACAATAAACAATAAGGGGGAGCGTTCTATCCTACTGCCATTAAACAGGGAGAATATTAAAACCGAGCTTACTTACCTATATCCAAGGCGACCGGTCCCTCAGGGTTCGGTCAGGTCGCATGTGGTTGTATGGTGCATGGGAAGAAAGGGTCAGTGATGTGTATCTGTGCGTGACTGAGTGTGGTAGACCTTATGAGACCGTTGCCTTTGGCAGCAGCTCGGACTTCAGCACCGCTCCAAATTGTGGTAATCTTTCGCGGAGTCGTCCACAGTCACTTTCTTCGTTCGTCACGAGGACAGTCCTTAACTTTATCGTACCATTAACTAACTTCCAGAAGCCACTAACTCTAATTTGTTATAAAGCGTAACACCCAACACAATTACAGAATGTCGGTCTATACGAAATCCCGTTACTATAAGCAAAAACGTAACACACCGCCCGAACACGAGTGTCCGGACCAAAGTTCACTACCGTTTCACGTGGCAACAATTATTTCTAGAATATCAAATGCCGCAGTAGTAGCTAATATTGTCGAATACCCTTATACAGATTCTGAGTTAGACACAAGAAGTCCCGGGAAAAGCTCTCAAACAAGGAATGCGCGATACGAATGCTAGACAGTATATTTACTAGACGCGCCTAAACTATTCCGAGTTCCCGCACAAAAAAAATGACAGCGTGCTGTCCCAAGCACAGCTGGCAACCGACTTCTCTTTGCGCTCGCGCGCTCTCTCTACCCCGCTCGACCGAACGTCAAAACCGGTATGGCGCCGAGCCGAGCGCCCTCTGGCGTCAAATTCCGAAACCAGCGTTCGGGCGTGAACATAAATCATAATGCAATTTAGGACAAGAGAAGAAAAATGTGACAAAAACATTAGTGAGTCTCGTGGAACACTCGGTTGGAACGAAGTGCCTTTAGTAGTATATTATGATGAAGCGTTATTTAAAATATAATTTAAAATAAAAAATTTTGTACAAACCGACTTCAATATAAAATATTAAGAATATCTCAAAAATTATTGGTCAGACCTTGATCAAATTTATATGGGACCACACGGGAAGCACCAGCTTTCAAATAAAAAAAATCATCAAAATCTATTCACTCAGGAAAAAAGTTATGAGTTAACACACATAAAAGAAAGGAAAAGAACATACAGTTGAATTGAGTACCGTCTCCTTTTTGAAGTCGGTAGAAAATGAGATTAAATACTTATGACGATCAGACGGTAACTATTTACTCATTGATGTCTCGGTGATTGCGATGGTGAAAACTAGTAGTAGTTTCTTACTAACTAATAGTAAGAAACACATAGAAGCTTAATGTTAAGTTGGAGAGGTCACATTTAATGAAGACAACGCTCCGCTTTTTCGTACTCTAATCCAAAGCACCGAAAACATTCAGCTCGAATTACCAAACCGTTTTTAGTGCTTGGAACATGCTAATACAGTGGACGATATGAATGATAAGCTTGTGAAACCTGCCATGCAGTCGGAGCTAAGTTTTGCAATACCCGTCGCAAAATAACTGAAAAACCCTCCGATCAAACTCTGAATTTCATGGCTGTTAGACGGGAAATGAAGCAGCCTTCAGCAAACATAGACAGTATACAGGCAACTTAACTTCAATACAGCGCGTATTAAAGAAGGGATCGAGCGAAACCACGGCTCCAAGCCGTGGTTCCGCTCGGTTGCTTCATCAAGGACTTTGGAGTCCATGATGATTCAAATGTAGCATCGTTTCTGGGACGCCTGAGATTTTGAGTGAGATTGAGAGGTTCTACGGGCACCTGTCCACGTTATTGTTGGAGCCACAACAAGGATCCAAAAGCAAGTCTTATCTGACACTATTCCGATGATATCCCGTACAGATTATAGAACTAAACCACGATTTCACGTAAATTTTGTAGTGCACAACTGCCCGAGGAAGGGATAAGCCACGATAATGTGATTGTAAGTGCAGTGGTTGTTTCGGCAGCGCTTCTTACTTAATGTATTAGAAATACGACGGTATGCAAGAATCATTTAATGTGCATAATATACATAATAAATTAGGTAATAGAAACATAATAAATTAAAAACAAATATTTTATAGTTTGTCGCTTACACTTTCTGCCTTCTTAGTGCTAACTAGTAAGCACTACAATCCCGTGGTGACAACAGAGCGACGCGCACTACAGGTCTCCGCAGAACACCCGTACGTGTGCGAACATCTACTATTCGTCCGTCACTGGCTGCATGGATCGAATTCACTACCCCGTGTCGCCAGCAGTTGTGATAAGCATTAGGTTCGACTAGAATAACTTCGACTTTTGTGTCCACTTTTGACGAGAGAGCAGTTTTGGCCAATATTCTTTTATAATTAATAGAATCAGGCGTTACTTTGCGGAAATCCATTATATAAAAGCTTTAGAACAATGTAGAGGCGAAACACGTGTCGTATTGTAGTCAGTGGTGTGTCTTGCCTAGTGTAGTGGTGTTGGGAGTAGCGGTGCTGGGATTAGTGGTGACGGGGATAGTGCACGCAATTGAGGGAGGGCGGGAGGTGCTCTTCATACTAGGTAAGACACATCATTTTATTTTATAACGCGGATATTTGCGAATTAAATTTTCCTATAGCTTTAAATATTATTTTAGCCAGTGAGACCAAAACATGCCTGCTAGCCTTTGTGTCACGCGCCAGTGTTTTCTTAAGCAAATATCAAAACCATCAATCTTACCAAATTGTGGGCTTGTTGATGATGCACCAATCAGAAAGTGATTGGACGTGAGTGCCTCTGGGTAATTTATTGGAGACATGCGTACTTAGCTGACTATTAACTAACGCCTCCACCTCAGTGTTATGTTAATTGAGGACTTCACTGTACGTATCAGCCTCTCCCAGGATCCCTGCATCTCAGGGGCACCTGGTGGAATGAATCTTCATACCATGTGCAGACAAAATACGTGGCGTCGTTACACCGAAAAGAGCGAAGCGTTTTTTTATTACAAAGTTTTTTCGGTGATGTATTATTGTCCACTAATAAAAATAATTATTTAATGAAAATAATGGATTTAACAAAATTAATCTATAAAAAACTTATTATAAAAAAACGATTGAGCCGAGATCCGATTGATTAGATTTGAGAACGTTTTTGCGCTAGTCAACATTTCGGAGAAATTTAAAAAGTTTCAGCGAAAGTTGACTTCAACTAAACAAGGTTTTGATCGAATTTAGATTTTTTTATTTCCAGTGGTCCTTAAACATTTTGCTATACACAAAAATACAATGAAAAGAAAAGTGATGTCGGTTCTAACGTTTAAAACAACGTAATAAAAAAGCATTATAAAGTAATCACTCAGTAAAATAAAAATTAAAAATAAAGACCAGCACGATACTAATAGCAATATTGTATCTTGTATAAAGCGGTTAAATGTTTAATATCTTTTTTTATACGATAAAGGTGACAAACTGATGGGAAGTGGTTGCTGCGGCCCATAAACATTTACATCTATCCTCGATTACTAACCAAAATGCAGATGCGTCGTCACCCGTGAGGACTAAAAAAAGGGTCTCCGGTTCTTTACATTCACCATACGAACACGGCAGCGTTGAGCTGCTATTTTATGCTGGTATTCTGTGAGAGCGTGGTCCTTCTCCTGGCGAGCCGAACCATTCGTGCTACAGTTATAATACCAATATCGCTGACTCTACCACGTAATAATTAAAATTTAAAATTTTTGTATAACCGACTTCAATATAAATTATTAAGAATAACTCGAATACTATTGGTTAAACCTTGTTCAAATTTATGTGGGACCACATGAAAAGCACCAGCTTTTACAAATAAAAAAAGAATCATCGAAATCGGATCACCCAGAAAATAGTTATGAGGTGAACACACATAAAAAATAAAATAAAACATACAGTCGAATTGAGTACCGTCTCCTTTTTAAAGTCGGTAGAAAATAAGACGAAAAAAAGGACAAAATAAGAAAACGTGAGAGAGAGATGGATATACATCTCGCTTTCTTATAGCCGCCAAGGCCGCCTACACTACGTCAGAAGGAGTCGTGATAGAAAAATCTTACACTTTTTTTCGCCTAGCCTCCATCCGCCAATTTCGTACCGTCCGATAAAGAACTTCGTTCCAAAAACATGCGGAAAGTCGATGGAAGAAGGTGGTTCAGAACCGTCTTTTATGGTAAACGCCATAAAACACAGAAGATACATACGAGTACGTGTTAAATATGAGACAGAGGACAATCGACTCGCGGTGATGGGTTCTCTAACGCCGCTACCCTACGGCTACAACCAAAGAGATTTAAATATATAGGTATACTATAGAGTGGACATTGGGAACATTTATATACAAAAACTTTGAGCTAGTAAGTCTAATCTACTAGAACTAATCTACTAGAAAGATTAAAATTTAAAGATTATTCGGTAAATATATGTTATATTTACGATAATAAACCGATATCACGTTAATTTTTGCTCCATATCGTGACTTACAATATCTTAATGCACAACCGGGCATATTTTCTTTAAAAATATTTTTTAAATATATGAAACGAATGCGTCTTGACTTTCTGACGATGTCACTAAGACCAAATGACAAAAATCGGAGATATATCCTATAGGACATAAGTTACAGACGACAATTTTCCTACTGTGTCCGGTCTATTACTACTACTACTTAAATGTCTTTGGCTACAACATATGATACAGGAATGAGTTCAACACCCAATTTCGTCCCGTAGGTGGCAACTGTGTCAAATATCAGAAAAGTTTTATAGCGTTCAATAGATT